AGCGAGCCATGGCGCGCCGGACGGGCTCCCCCGCCTCGCCGGGGCTGCCGCCGCCGCGTCTCTGCGCGAGGCTCGTCTGGCGGGGGGAAGAGGTGCAGGCGGGGGCTGGCAGCGCGTTGCATGGGGGGGGGGCAGCTGGCGCCGCCCGTGCCTGCTGGTCGGGACCGTCGAGAGGCTGCCGTGCCCGCTCGCGGGTCATGCCCGCTCTCCCCGGACAGCTGGCAGGAGTGGGGGGACAGCGGAGGAGCCTAGCTCCTTCTTCCCCGGCAGCTCTCCCGCGCCCGGACTCCTCTGCCGGGCGGGCGAGGCTTCTCTGGTGCTCTCCTTTGGCCCCCGCCATCGCATCGCCAGAGGCTGTTGCTATGCGACCACCTTTCGGCGAAGCCTATGTCCAGGCTGGTCGATGGTGCTGCCCAGCAGCAGAGAGAACCCTGGTGACGTGAGGAGGGCACACCCTGCAGCCCGGGCGAGCCCCCTGCCTTCTCCTTTGTAACAGTTCCCGGCCGTGAATCCTCCTGCTGGGTGAGCCGATTTTTTTCCCCTACTCAGGCACCCTTCTCCTTAGGGGCTCCGGGGGAGGCCCCCGTGGGTTCTGGTGTGGTAATTAAAGGAAGGAGGGTCGAGTCCCTCTGGCTGCCAGCTGCAGAGCAAGCAGGATCCCTAGCTGGGCACCCTGCAGAGGAGATCTGGGGAAAGGAGGATCCACCATAATGCAACCCAAGATAAGCTCTCCATCCAGCTGCCCTGTTCACCTCCTCAGACCAGCTGGATGGGCTCATAGGGGGCAGCCCAACCTGAATGAGCCAACAGCACACAAATACTAAGAGAAACAGCCAGACAAGCAGCAGCTCCCCTCACTTCCAAAACTTCAAGGAGAGACCATTCTCCCTAAAGGCCGGCAAGGGATTCTCCATAGGAAGCGATTCTTCCTGCCCCCATCCCCAGCTGGCCCTTGCTAGACTTGACCATGCCCTCCAGTCTGGACAGGGAGCTGGCTCCACCCTCTTGGCTCCTGCCGCTCACCCCACTGCTACCTTATTATGTGCGCCCAGGCTCCCTGCAGGATACCGGCTCGGTCAAAGATCTACACTCTGACAGTCACCAACCCCAACAAGGCCCTAACCTACGAGTTGGTGCTAGAAAAGCCTGGTAAGGTTTCCCCTCCGGCAAATCCCATGAAGACTCCAGAGATCAGGAGAACATCTTTCCACATGTATTTATTGCCACTTATCTACTACAGAAAAGGGAAGCAGAGACCAGTCAGCAAAGGCAGGTGGGGGGTTATTGCTCACAAATAGCTTTGACTTTTCAGAAGAAGCAGGGGGATGGCAGCCTCGCAGAGGCCACAGGTTACACCCTAACGCAATCTACTCATGAGCAAGTCCACCACAGAGGAGAAAGACAAACCCCGCCAGAGGATTAAGGCCCTGAGACGCTTTGAAAGTGCTTGGGACAGAGTTCATGGGCACGGTGCTGCGAAGGGGGCGGGGTAGGCTAGGGGAAGCTCTGCAGCAAATCACGGAAGTTGCTAGAGATGGGACTTCATGCCACAGCAAAGGCATCGATCTTCACTGCCTTCCCTTCTTGCTCCCCTGAGGAGAAAGTGGCGTGTCCAGCCCTTTTGACACATGCCCAGAAGTCAGAAAGAGGTTTCACTGAGTGGCACTCTGGATGGGGCTAGGGGGAGGGTGGGCTCCATGGGGGCAGGACGGGGGGTGGGGGAGCTTTGGCTCAGAAGGCTAGCAGCAAGCCCACCCCTAGAGTGGCTGACCCGCTGGCCCTCGGAGGATCGGTCAAAGAAACTCCTTCCCAGCTGTTGTCGGTGGAGGTCTCCTCGCTGGAAGTCCAATGTGGGCTGATGCTCCTGCCTCAAGCAACAGGACGTGCTTGGGGAGGCTTTTGCTGGCTTCTCACAGGTCCCATCAACATCTTGGCACTGGGGGCAGCTAGGAGAACCACAACCTTGTTATGTGTTATCTGTGGGGAATGGGGAAAAGAAGAGCCAGAGGGAATCCCCACCATGATCCAAATTGGGGCGACAAACTAAGGCTAGTTGAGGGCAGGGGAAAGTGGGAATTCAGCAGATCAGGCCAGAGCTTTTCAAGTCATTCCTGATCCTTGTGGAATTGCACATCTGGAGTTGCTGACCCTCAAAGAAGAGAGCATTGCATGTTCCCTTTCAATTACCCACCCCATCATGTGTGCATGGACCAGTCCCCACCTGTACCTGATGCCAGAAGTATTGGTGAGAGAGAAAGACCCCCCAGGACTTGTCTCCAGGGTGTGGGTAAGTGCCAGGTCACACTGCTCTAATTCAAGCAGCAGCTCTTCTTCTGAGGGACCACCACAATCTGCAGGACAGGAGGAGGAGGGGCAGCACAAAAGGTTGGAGCATGCTGAGATGGCAGGCCCTTATGCCAGAAATGGAAAGAGAACACAAAGAAACCCAGTGCAGAGACAGGATGTGGTCAGACCCCACTGACGTCTGCTATCAGAAGACCTAGAAACAACTCAGCGAATAGCAGAGAGGAGCAGGGACTTCTTGCAGCCCTCTCTCCACTGGGGGCAGATCTGCCCAAGCCCAATGTAGGGCCCCTGGCTGCCCCCCCTAGGCTGCCCCCCAGGGGATCTCTGCACAGCATCCCCCAACCAAGCCCAGCCCTTGCACCTGGTGTTCGGTCTCCCATCTCCATAGCGGTGGTGAGGTCCCACATCTGGAGGCTGCCATTGCTGTGGCCAGTAAAGAGGTAGCGGCGTGGGCGGGAGCCAATGCGGCTAGAGCCCTCGCATTCCTGGACCATGAAGGCGGTGATGGCTGAGCCATCAACAGAGCACACCTCACATATTCTGCAAGGGAAAAGAGGAGGATCCTGGGCTGGAGAGCTGATGGGATGAAGACAGCACGTCTGTCCTCACAGCAGAATGGCAGAGCCACAAACCGCTGTTGCAATCCATGTAGTCGGGGTGTCCTACAAACCACATTTTGTCCTCTAAAGGGGAAGAGCAGCACTAAATTTAAGGAGATTCACACAGCCAGCTGCCTCAGAAGCTACCCACTTGAGGTTGGCGTTAAGAATATCTACATGTTGGCCTGCACGCTTCTGGCCTGGCCTGCTGCAGACCCACCTCTTGCCAGTAGAGGAGAGGCGCACGTAAAGTTTGCTGGCATCAGGAACCACCTTCTGGAGGAACACTTGCTGGTCATCGCGCTCACCGAAAGGCCCTGCAGGGAAGGAGGAGGAAGCAGGTGGGGTCCCAGGACTGAGATCCCGAAGGGCCCCTCCCTTGCACCACCAGCTATCCCTACCAATGTCTGTGCCAGCACTGCAGCCACCATGCCCATCCACCGACTCCAGGGCCAGAATCTTGAAGGAAGCCAAGGGAGTGGAGCCTGGCTGCGTCGAAATCATTCCACGGAATCGAGTCACTGTCCACGTGCGCACATGGTTGTTATCGGCACAGACTGGGAGCAGGCAGAAAGAACAAGGAAGGGAGTGAGAGGTCCCTTGGCTGGCCCCACCCCTCCACCCTCTCCTTCTCAAAGCCAGTACCTGAGATGAGGTGCTTCTCTGAGAGCATCACCTTGGTGACAGGGCTACGATGGACAGCAAAAGTCTGGAAAAGTTGGGGCCCGGAGCCCACAGTCTCTGGATGCTGGACAATCACTCGTACCATCCCTGAGCTGGTGCCGTAGGCAATTTCAATCCAATTTCCACTGTTGCCTGTACAAGGAACAGAGGGCTGGAGGCAAGCAGCCCTGCTGCAGCCAGTAGAGGCCCAAGAGGAATAGCCAGCTCTGGAGGAAGGCAAAGCCTAGCTGGGATTTGGGGCTCCCACCAGACAGGAAGAAGCAGGCAGGCAACCCAGGACTTCCGTGCCTGATTCGGCTCATTAATTCAGGCAGGGAGTCAGCTCTGCCCAGGGTGTGGCCCCTTACTGCTCTTGGGCGTGAGGTAGACGCTGAGGGCAGTAACAGCATCCTCTGCGGGATCACGGTACAGCTCAGTCACCAGGAGGTCATTGTCCTTCATGCGCAGGGGGAACTTCTGCACATCTGTGGAGAAGCAGCACACAGGTGCGAGGAACAGCTCTCAAGACAGAGCATCTTCCTCCGACCCCACAGCAACGCTCGCACCCTATCAGGAACCCCGGCTGGCTGTTTTCCAGCTGCTAACTCACCAACATAATGGATGGAGCCATTGTTGCAGCCCAGGAGCAAGAAGGACCCCGCTGCATCGTAGCTGTTGATCGGGACCACGTCCTGAGTCTGCGGGGATGGAGCAAATGGTGAGGAACAGGGTGCATCGGAGAGCCTGAGGTCGCAGGCTTCCAATCAATGGGTTTTAGCACAAGAACTAAGAAATTACCTGCTATGAGAATTTAGGCAGACCCTGAGCTAAAAATCAAAATCAACTGATGTTAATAGAAAAAAAATTCAAAGAGCCAAAAAACTTTTTACGAATGTTTTGAGTGAAAGGAACTGCACTAGTGTCCAAGCTGTTCCACAGACATGGCAAAATGCCGATAGCTGACTAAGAAAAGGCAGAGGCACTCAACCCCAAGTGGGATTCAATCTTCTCCGAGGAAGAGGAGGAGGAATGCATTCCACCAGGCCACTCTGAAAAGCAGGATGAAATACAGTCAGGGAGCACCCACAGAATGCAAACAAGCTTAAATCTCCGTGGCCAGATGAATTACACCCCAAAGAGCTAAAGGAACTGGCAGACGATTGGCTCAAAACCTTATCGTGATCCTTGGAAAATCCTGAAGAACTAAGAGAACTGGAGTCAAGCAACTTTTGTCCCCATCTTCAAAAGGGGGAACCTGTCAAGAATATTTAGTTTAGCTGCTGCAGGTCAGACTCAAAGATCTAAACTGCCCCTTCCAGTTCCAACTTGTATTTGTTAATCACTCCCAAAGCTGCACCTGTTGTGCAGCTCTTTGGAACAGGCTACTCCCTTCTCCCCCAACTCAACCACAAATCCTCCATGTCCCCCCGAGGCAGAGCAGCCTCATTACCTGCCAGTGCTTGGTGACTGCGTTCCAGACGCCAATCTTGCCAGTGTGGCTGGTGGCAATAAGCTGGCTGCCAACGAAGAAGAGGCCTTCTACAGGGACCCCTAATCGGAACACTCCTACAGAACGAAACAAAAGGCTGGGAGGTGAGCGGTTCAGGCTGCTGGATTAGACCCAAGGCCTCTCCACTCACGAACCAGCCACTCCCGAAGAGCTCTTAAGAAGTTCCCTGCTGGATCAGGAGGCCACCTGGCCCAAGAAGACGACATGCCCCTCTCCACCCAACCCAGGTCTTCTACCACGTTGTCTTTGAGAGCAGAAGCAGAGGCAGGCTTTCAGGCAGCAGCCCATGATCTACGGATTCTCCTAATCTTTTTCACCTATCACAGCAGGGAGTGCTAGGCTTACTGACCAGAGCTAGCTGTGGCAGAGGTAGGGGACAGGTTTCAGAACACCAGAGAAGAGCAAAGATGGAAGTTCCTGGCACCTGGTTACCGATGCCCCCTTAGTTTGATCCCACTGCCCAGACGGATAAACTTTTATCTTATCCCAGGCGAGGCCTGCGTCGAGGAACCTCCCCTCGCCTGAGGCATTTCAGATGCTAAGGACTGGGGTTCTATTAGTCTCTCACCAATCTCGGTGCCGTTCCCATCAGGCTGAAGAGCCCATAGAAGGATTTCGCTGCAAGAGGCAGCAGCCACCATTTTGTCACTATCACCCAGGGACCCACCAAGCACCCGGGCATTTAGTGCCACGCGCTCGATTACCCAGTCCAGCCGGGGGCTACAGAAAGCCAGCTGCCAGCCGGAGGTCTCCTTCATCCTGCAGAGTAGAGGGATTAGTCAGGCGAGGGGAGAGGGCCCAGTCTCTTCCCATCTCCTCTCCACGCTGAGCATCCAGCTGCCCCCCCAGCCCACTTACCTGTAGCAGATAAGGAAGTGAACATAAGCCACAGCTACCCAGTTATGATGGCCACAGATAAGACGTACCATACCTGGATCGTTTGCGGCTCCTAGAGAAAATGAGCCACGCGAGTGTACGGGGGCTCGTTTCCAAAATCCAGAGAGCGTTTCCCATGGGCCACCCTCTACCCCACAAGCATCCTAGCTTCCTTACGTCACTCTCTAAAAAAAAGTAAAGACTGCGCTACAAGCTAAGAAGCGGTTCCCTTTTCCAGCCTAGCTGCGTGGCTGCAGAACCAGAGGATTCTAACTGAACAGACGCACGAGAGCGACTCCAGCTGTCCACAGCCCCCCTCCCTCTGCTTTTACACCTCCCGGTCTCGGGCTCCATCCTGCCCTTCTCGGTGCACACCTGCTACTGCATTCCTCTCCTCCAGTCTCCCCAGAAGCCCTATGTTGCTAAGATTGGGGGGCATGGTGTTGCTCCGGCGCACGAGGGGGTTGCCTGCCCGGGCAGCCAACTGTACCCCTGTGACGCTGTGGCGGTTCCACCGCTTGGCAGGAAACACTGCAAGGGAAAGGAGAGCAGGCAGCTGGCTTGGCCGCGGGGAGATGGCTGTGTGGCCCAGCCCACCGCCTCAAGCCGGCCCTAACCCCGGCCCTACCAGACGGGGGCGGCAGATAGCCCTCGAACAGGACGCTCCCGCAAGAGGACCGCTCCAGCTCCTTGTGCAGCTGCAGGCGGCGAACTGGGGGAAGAGCAAGGCAGAGGGCCCAGGTGAGTCAGGAGGCACGG